TAACAGCTTCCCATATTCTAGAACTATTACTACTATAATTACAATTTTTTATCTCTACCTTATCAATAAATGCAAACCTGATATATCTGAACACCCACCCCTACTAGTGCAAAGTACCCAGCCATTCCAAGGCTGAGCAGAAACAGATTGAACTGGGTTACCGTATGTATATTTATACCCCACAATGGTGAAATTTGAATAGGTAGGAAATAAATTGGTCACGGCAAGACCATCTGCTACTCTTCTAGGAGTCACAGCACTTTGACAGCCAGTCCATTCTGGGGGCCATTTCCAAAGCCCTAGACAGTGAGGCAATATTTGCCGCACCCAGTTTATAGTGCTGTTACATTCGCTCCTCGGGCACAGTTGGGGAACTGATGCAGTCATAGCCATCGCTTCTCCACTGCTCCGATTGCCTTTCGCCCATAGCTGGAGATTCTGGCTGTCTCCTCTCAGTATCTGAATGAACATCAGGCTGGTCAGCATCCACCACATCCGCAGGTTCATCTTGCTCCGGCTTTCTTATAACTCAAGTCAAACGTTCTGGCACCCACACTGGTCCATCAGAATCCTGCAGAAAAACACAAACCACACCTCATGTTCTTCGTAAGACCAGATGCAGGCCCATCCATCATTTTGTTAAAACATCTTTCCACATCACCCAATCTTTGCAGGGGCCTGTGCCAACAGTGTGGTATTCAGTGCAGAATGGCCATCCAAATCCAAAATCAAAAAATTAATAACATAAGTAACTAAAGCCAATTGATGTTTAGGACTATTGGGATATAGGGCAGCTCCTACTCCCCATTTTTGTTTTATTAATGCTTTGAGAGTTGCATGGGCACGCTCTACCACAGCCTGGCCCGTGGGATTATATGGGATGCCAGTGGAGTGTTTAATCGCAAATTCAGAACAAAGCTTATCAAATGGTTTGGCTGTATAGGCAGGTCCATTATCAGTCTTATAACACTGGGGGATGCCCAAGGCTGCAAAAGCTTGAAGGCAATGAGATCTAACATCATGAACCTTCTCCCTGTATGAGCTGAGGCATAAAGAACCCCAGAGCAGGTATCGATAGAGACATGAACAAAAGAAAGGCGATCAAAACTGGGAACATGGGTAACATCCATCTGCCATATATGATTAGGCCTAAGACCATGGGGATGAACCCCAAATCAAGGCTGGGATAAAAATGGGACACAATTTTGGCATTGTCTAATAATACGAAGATATGGTCGGATACAATTAATATGCCCCAATACCTGCTGGAAATCATTACAGGTCTTTAAACCATCCATTCTGATTTTTCGTTTTTTTCCATCTCAGTGGGACCTCCTTGAAGTGGCTCACAAAGTCCACATAGGGCTCATTAGGCCCTTGGGTCACTTTAGATATGGAAAAGCACAGATCGCCTTTGCTATGAGGGGCCCTCCAAGCATTGCGCCCTATGGTGGCTATCTGAGCATAAACAGGCTCGGGGTGATCTATTTGGTTAATCAATGTCCAGAACCTGACCGTTCCTGGAGGGAGGGGCTCCTGCTGTTCTGCCCTAGATTAGTCTCTGCCTAAGTGCTCCCTTTGTGGCAGGGTCAAAAGGCCCTCCTCCAGAAACCACAGGGCGATCCTATGCACAGATCGCACAAACAACAGTACTGTCAGCAGTTTCTACAATAAAGGTTGCATGCGCGCTGAAGAAGTTAAATTGCCCATATTTCTAACACCTTTGCTCATCGCTAAACCCATGAACCTGACATGCACGTCCCCACCTAGTACGGCTTCCTGAGCAAAAGGCTCAGTTGTAAACTAATTCCCACTGTAAGCGCCTCCCTGAGCAATCTGCTCAGCTGCTTACCTTCCTGGTGCTCATCAGCTGACATCTATCTGAGTCACAGCACCAGTTATCAGGGTCTCCCATCCCCCAGAAGAAATCACCCAACACTGGAGAGCATCTCAGAGGCGCTTTATACAAAGCTTCCATTAAAACTGTTACATCCCTTAATTCCATTACACAGAACCCCCTCCCCTTACCAAAGTCCCTGGCTTATATATCAATCCTATCCAATCAGCTTAAAGATCACCAAGCCGTGCAGAAGACACGCCAATCAGGGCAAAGGGCCAATCACAGGGCAGTACATTGTCAGTGCCCCCAACATCCTACTTGATTGGTTTTATAGATTCCTCTTTCTTCATGCTTTTCATGAGCAAACTGCACTTCCGTGACTCCAATGTCATCCGTCACTTTTTCTGTGACACATTCCCAATTCTAGCCCTGTCCTGCACTGACACATGAGACCGAAATCATCATATTCACTTGTGCCGTTTCCACTTTAATGGTGTCCCTTATCACAATAGCTGTGTCCTATGCATCCATCCTCTCTACTATCCTGAAAATTAATTCCACTTCTGGAAAGAAAAAAGCTTTCTCTACCTGTGTCTGCCATCTCCTGGGAGTCACTGTATTTTATGGCACTATGATTTTTGCTTATTTAAAACCAAGTAAGTCCTACTCCTTGGGAAAGTATCAAGTGGCTTCTGTCTTTTATATGATTGTGATCCCCATGCTCAATCCTCTTATTTATAGTCTGCGGAACAAAGAAGTTAAGAACGCTCTTCTCGGGTCACGCATAAGAAAGATACCTCCATGTAATTAAAACAGCAATGAATTGAAGTCAAACTTATCTTTACTTGGTTCAGATTTGAGAATTTTCCTGCCTTTGAAGACAATGAAAGCCCTTGCTTGACTAAGCATGGTCTGGAACATATCCAGAAGTGAGTTTACAGGTGTCCACATTACATTAGAAAGTTTTGAAATGTGTGTTAAATGCATATGTACACAAAAACATATGTGTGTAGATATATTCAAGTGTTAAGAATGCCATAGGATAAATTTTAGAGTGTTTTAATATCTGACAGAGCTACATTTATTGCACAGTTTCAGAAGCCACCCAAGTAATACACAGCAAGGACAGAAATCACACATTTTGTGCCCTTGTTATATGATCTGTCATCCCAGGATTCAGATTCCAGCTCTTCTACATACTTAGCTTATAACCTTTCATAAGTCACAGAAAAATTGACCCTCATTTTCCCCATTTTCAGTTACTGGTCCTAATAATTAAAAGATAGATGTAAAATATTTAATGTGATGAAAATGAGTACTGGCAAATAATTGTCTTAGAAGTCTCATGCTCCTTCAATGTGTGTGTATGCGTGTTTTTTTCAAATCAGATTACCCTTTTTAAAAAATATCATTTTCACAATGTTTGATTAATTTAAGAAGCAGTTATAAATGGAGAAAGATATGGGCAGTTAATAATTTTGGATTTAGTACAAAGTGAACAGTTTATTATAATTAAGTTATAGAAAATAAATCAAGGCTAATATTGAAGAAAACTTATAAGCTATTGGAAATGTAAAAGCAGAAAATTGAAATTATTGACAGCCATGGTTAAGTTTCTATAAGTTGTTCATTGTATGTTCATTTACTATGAGATTGCTTTATTTTGCTTCTGTTTCAAATTTTATAATTTATTTAACCTACATAAATTTAGAGGGTTTTTGTTAAAGTAATGTAACTATATTACTTTTGCTTTTTAAAATTTATGCTAAGGCTTATTCCAAAACTACATTTGATAAATGATTTCAATTGAATAAAAACAGGAGACTGGAATACAGAAGTTAATAATTAAAAAATTTGGAGAGCCACTCTAGGTTTCAGTGGCCTGGGAGGTGTGACAACGGGACCAATCAGGAAGATGCTGTTGGCTCTGTTGACAGAGGTGCTTTCAGTTTCAAAAAGATGCTGGATCAGTGTGAGCACCAGTAGCTTGATGCTCCCAGAGGGATTGCCATGCTTTGTGCATATGCCCAGTGCTGGGGCTTGTATTTGCTGCATAATAACCTGAATAAAATCCCATAAACTGACACAATGAGGAATGTAAATGTTTGTAAACATTTGTAAATTGCCTGGCTGGATTTAGCACCTCAACATTCCTTACTCAGTGCGATCAAATACATGGATAATGTACAGTGTTCAGGCATGTTGCCATCATTGCAACAGTTCTCCTTTTGTGATTGTTAGCTATGGGGTTGAACCTAACAGTAGTAGCAGTTTTTAAATCCTAGTGACTCAAGAGTGAGCTTTATTTTTTTCTATCTTTTAAAATTTTACTTCTTTTTATGATTAGGATAATTTTATCATACAGTTCCATGGATCCTGGGATTTCCCTTTCCCCTCCGCAAAAGTCTTAGTTTAAACATATTTGCAAAGATCCCTTTCACAAATAAGTTTACATTTGCTAATTTGTTGTGCAGACATATTTTAAGGTGCCATCATTTAGACCTCTCTATACAAGCATAAAGAGTTTAAGGTGAACACCATCATGGCTTCTTATATTGATTAGTTATTTGCAATGCAATTCTTGAAGCTACAATGGGAGGATATAATGATATCAATGGAAGAGTGTGACCTCAGATAATAGAGGATGAATACTTCTGGTGTCTTAGACTTTGAAGGTTACAACAACAAGTAGCACAAGAGAGATAATCACCCTTTTTCACCATTTAGTGCTTTTTAAAAATTATTTTCATTGAGTAAATCCAAGAGAAGGATCAGTGAAATATAGAAAATTCATCTGTAATGAATGAGTAAACAAAGATTGTACACTATCATGACCCTAGATATTGAGTATATGACACCATCAGGTAGCTTTTTTTGTATTTTCAGGCACACTTAACCCTTAACCAGGAAAAGAAAAATGAATCTTCAAAATGAGTTATTTGCCCTTGAGACAGTTCATTCCCTAGCTACACTAACTTGGATAGCTAAACTCTAATTTCCTTTGATAGAATATCGATTGTTATATTAATTATTAGGACTCAGAAATATAGTTAACAGTTTTATTTTTTCCCAGTCGTGCAAATGTCCAGTCATGACAAATTGTCCACAAGCTATTTTCCTTTTTGTTTTTATTATTTTTTTGTATATTCAGCTATCTGCTTCAAGTCAATAATTTATTCAGTAGTTTTCTCAGTGCCGACATGATGTCTTTGTTCCTCAGAGTATAAATAATAGGATTCAAAGTTGGGATCAAAATGGTATAGAAAAGAGAGATTAGCTTCCCCATTCCTTCGGAATGATTTGGTTTGGGCTGCAAGTAAGTGATGCCAGCTGTTCCATAGAATAAAACTACAACTGTGAGATGAGAGGAGCAGGTGGAGAAGGCTTTAGCCCTCCCTTTGGCTGACGACAATTTCAGAATACTGGAAATAATTTTGACATAGGAAACAACAGTCAGCATAAATGGAACCATGACAAATACCACTGCCACAACATAGACTGCTATCTCATTCACAAATGTGTCACCACAAGCAAGCTTAAGGATTGGAGGGATGTCACAGAAAAATTGATTTATTTGATTAGAAACACAAAAGGGCAAAGAAAAAATCTGCCATGTTTGCCCTATTACAGCAGGCGTTGTAAAGACCCAGGAGGCAGCCACCAGCTGAATACACACCTTGTGGTTCATGACCAAAGGATAGTGCAGAGGGCTACAAATGGCCACGTAGCGGTCATAGGCCATCACTGTCAGCAGAAGGCACTCCGTGCCTCCCAGCAAAAGCACAAAGCACATTTGTGCAGCACAACCAAGCAACGAGATGTTTCCTTTCTGGGTACAAAGATCCATGAGCATCCGTGGGATGGTGACAGTTACATAGCAGATTTCCAGGAAGGAAAAATTGCCAAGGAAAAAATACATGGGGGTTTGGAGAATGGGGTCAATCACAGTTATTAATATAATGATGCTGTTGCACAACAAGATTGTCAGATATAGGAGGAAAAATATCCCAAAAAGAACCCACCGGGCACTAGGAATGTCAGAAAACCCCAGCAGGATAAATTCCGTGTATGTAGTGTTGAATTTTTCTGTTTTAGTATGCTCTTCATCTGTAAATACAGCAAATTCAGGATGGTTAATTGATTCAAAATTAAATTATAGTGTCCTCCAATACTACATGGATGAGTCATGACTATACAGAAACAATATCTTAAATTCTTTTCACCAATACTTTTTCCTGAAACTGACATTTAAACTTCAGAAATTGCCTGCAGTTAGAAATCCAATCAAGAGAACATATTAGCATGTTCTCCTAGACTTACCTTTAAAATAAGAAGTTCATGGAGCTGGATTACAATACAAATTTCTTTCTGTTGTTTTATCTAGGTATATTACTCTGTTGCAGTTGTAATTTTCCATCTCCTTTTCCCTCAGCTTTTCCATATTGATTCCAAATGGTCAAATCCAATTTGACCATTTCCCTTTTATATTCCAATAAGAATCTTTTACTGTAAAAAAATCCCTTGCTCTTTTTTCAGCTCACCCGTAACTTTGTTAAATATGAAAACATTGCTAGCAGTATGCTTATCAGTCTTCTGAAGAACACTGTTCTACATGGGATGAATATTAACTAATTATTAACCCAGAGTATGAACAATCCCTAACAATATTTTTTTCATATTTGTTTTATTATACATGAGAGATTTCCCCCTTTTTGTGATTCTTTTTTATGTAAATGCCCTTCCTCTGTTTTCCATTCCTAATGTCTTCAAAAATTACAATATTGGTTAGATCTAAACCAAATATACTGATTCCATATGGATGTCCACAGCACGTGGACATTGCTAAATGCAAAAGAAAACAAAATATTTTTATTTCTTCATATTAATATTATCCAGTGTGACATTGTTTATGGTGTTAGCCCTGCATTTTCTTAATCTTTTTTCTTCAACTTTGAAAACCAAATATTTGCCTGTTTTTATCTCTATAACATGCTACATCTGCATACTTCCAACCACAATCAGCTAATTCCCTTTACTTATTATGTTGTCAAATAGGAGTGATCAAATATGTTTTTTCTTTCTGTTTCAGCAATAGTTTTCTCAAGATTATCTTACTAGGATCCTCTTTGATAATGACATCAATATTCTTATTTGACACAATCCGATTTCCTTTAAATTTATATTTAAGATAGATAACAGTTGCATAGTATATATTAAATAATGAACTAATTTCCAAATTAATGTTAGAATTCCATATGCTTCTTTTTTATTAGCTGAAACTTGATCCTAAATTTTAGAAATTTAGAGCCATTCTTAAATCGTTTTATTTAATTACATAGATATAATAGTTACAGCTTACCTTTAAAGAGAGGCATAAAGAAGGCTACAGTGATATAAGTGATTTTTTTTTTTTACCTTCAATCCTTCTAAGGTATTCTTTTTCTTGGAGAGTCACTCAGATTTCAAAATCTTATTGTATTTTTCCAATGTACACTACTTTTAAATAGGAGTAGAATTATTCACCCAAGAGAGCCGCTTCTCTGGTGTATCAATTACTTTCTTTTGGCAATCGTTCTCTTTCATTTCGTAAAGTTAAGTTGTTTGTACAGTGACTTCCACTCATTTACTTTAGCCATTAAGTTTTCTTGTTATAGCCTGTGTCTCTGAACTGTGAAGCATCACTTAACTTTCGGCATTATTTTCAGGAAAGAGTTAAAACACTTATTAATAGACAGCACTTGATATGGATTTGTGAATTTTACATTTGTCCTTTCTTGTCATTTCTTTGATTTAATTTTTTTATCATCCATATTCATGTCCTACAAACAGAGGAGTACACCCTGTATTTCCATCACATGAACATTTTTTGCTTGGTTGGAGTCTTCCATGAGATCCCAGCTCAAAAACTGAGGACTCTGTCTTGAATTAACTTTGTGCAAAAATTAAATCATGCCATGATTAGTTAGAATAAATTAAATTGTTTTTACATGCTCTTAGCTCAGGTTTCAGAGAAGGTGTAACTGATTAAAACTGCAAGATGTATTGCTTATTCAAAGTATAAATAATAAGGGAAGAAAAATTATTTTCTCGACATCCTTGTCAGTATTGCTGAATATGTTCAGCATAAAAGTTAACACAAGTTTTATTATCTTGATACATGTAGGACTCTCATAATTGTAATGTTTTGGCTCTTTTTCATTTCTGAACACATCTATACATTGCACTTTTAAAGTATACTGCATAAAACAAATGACATTTACAGATATACAGATAATTGAAATTTTTGTTCCTTAGCACATTCTTATCCAATACACCAATTAGGAGCAAAATATTATTAGACTCCTCCAAGTGTCTGCACTTTCTCCCTTTTCCATTTATTTTCTTTTTTAACAGTTTAAGAAAGACTCTATTGCAATTTAAAAGTATAGCTAAGTACCATATTATAAATTATTTTCAAAATTTTTATACTGTTTCCATAAACTTCTTTAAATTACAGAAAACAATTTACACTGTGTTAGTCCTCCTTCGGGACTAGGGAGAAGAGCATCCTCTGGTCCTTACTTAATTCCAACTTTGGTCCCCCACCCTCTCTTTCAATAAACATAGGGGTTGTTCCAGAGGGCACCCCTCCCCCATGCCAGAGTCCAGCTCCAGCCGAGTTCAGAGCTGGGGAAGGGTGAGTGGAGTTGGTGATAAAGAAAGACACAGTGCCTATAAAACTGTATCACATAATACAATGTTAATAACAATTGAAAAAAAAAAAAGAAAGACACAGATACAGACACTTGGTGCGTTCTCACAACAGCTCAAGAAAAAACTGTCCTTTTTATTTACTCAAAATCCCTCTCAAGTTTCTGCACAAGCAACTATTCTGTTTTTACTTCAAGACTAAGGGGGCATGTACAGACATTTGGTCACTCCATCTGAACTTCAAGGCTAAGCAGGTGCCCCTAAAGATAATTCTGCAAGATACTGTATTCATATTATTCAAAGCAAGCTATTATTTATTCTTCAACAGTAGCCATGGAGCAACAGCCAGGACTCCAAGGCCAAGGCACATGCGATTACCTGCTAATCAGTAGTACATTCCTACCACATTTCTAATTCTACAATTTACCCATTATTTAATGGGAAAATAGGTTACAAGGGAAAAAACCTAAAATCTAAAACAGAAACTTCAAATATTAAGTCCCCCTGCAACTATAGAAGACTCCTACAACCCCATAAACAATAAGACAATAATCAAAAGCATTTTTCTTTAATAAAATCATCCTTAATTCCTCTAGCTAAAAATCATAAAAGCAGCTAAAACAGTTACATTTTCTAGGCTCCAAAAAATTGCAAAGACAGGCTAGTCTTTCAGATAACAATAACTATATTTATTGCCATAGCAGTTTCAGCTCTCACTCCCGTCACTTGCATTAATATTTAGGATATAAATCAAGCCCCTTCCCAGAAGGTGTGCTACATGTCTGGGCCAGATTCTAAGACAATGGTTAAGTACCCAATAAGGTGTCCAGAAATGGCATGGGCTTAATTGTGCTCCTGTGTGTAAGCTGTCAAAGGCCCACTCACCAAGACATTATCAGTGACATTAACTCTCAAGCTCACGTTGGTGGCAAAAACCGTCTCGCAGGGGCAAACAACAATGCCTCAATAGATTACAGAATTCCTAGTGGGGTGCTTGAGTGTCCATGCAGCCAGGGGGTGAAACAGCGTCATGGTGGTCAGAGAGAAATATGCCGAGCCCTGCCTAACAGCTGGAAGCTCCCCCAGGCCTTGCCACACAGGGGAGCTGTTCTCTTCACACCTTTGTGTCATCCACACCTTGTGCACAGACCCCAGCACCCCCACAAAAAGAAAAACACACAAACGAAAATTAGAATAGATAGAGAACAACAAGGAAAGCTTAGAACCAGATAGGAAATGGTCAGCATGGATCCACACATACCTTACTAGGTGGGACACAAAGATTAGTTACTCCTCACTAGGGTATTGAAGATTTCTCTGCACACCCCTCCTAAAACTGTTCTGCACCACAACTGTTGACATATGCCTTGTTAGAGTTATAAGCCGGTTTAGACTATCCTAAAATCTGCCAAGTTCAGCAAAATTAGCTTCAACACTATAAACTGCTAAATACTAAAATGAAAATAGGCATGAGACAGCTAAATAGTACCCTATAGCCATTTTAAGGTGTATTGCAGCCGGTTCTGTATATAAACTAAAAATGAAATGTCAATGAAGCAGTCACAGGATATAATTAAGAACTTGCAATTTTTAAAATATTGGTTACTCAATACCATGTCAATAAATTCCATAATGTTGTAAATTGCTGTTAATGTTATGTTGTGCTGGGGCTTTTAATTGATCAGGATGATATTTTGCCAGCTTTACCTTCAGACCAGAGATGGTCTCCCCAAGAAACCATTGAATATATCTGGAAAATAAGATGCTGGACTCTATGCTTAGTATATGCTTGCAATGAAAGAATGTCAACTTAATTTGGACTGTAATGCTGCAACAAGTTGGAGGAATCCACCATGGGGGAGAGTATGGGGAGGTGTTGGGGGAATCCCAAAGCCTATGAACCATGTCACGTAATGCAATGTAATTAATTTTAAAAAAAATAAAGAAAAATAAAAATATTTACTTATATATATATTGTGCATTACATAAACTAGATTGTTTTGCTATTAAATTTTTGAGCTCTTTATATACTTTGGTATTATTATTTTTTTACACTAAGATATATGCATGTTTTGGTAGTTTTTTCTTTTTTTTTTTTTTAGATTCTGCTTGAAAAAAGGCAAGAACTTATAACTTACATGTTATCCAAACTACACAGACAAGTAATTGTGGAAACTCTATTCCAGTTATTGTTCTTCCAGCTCTGTTTTACAAAAATAATATGCAATAATATGTCTAATAAGCAAAGGACACTTTAGTGCTATCCAATGTGGGAAATATTCTCTAACAGCTGATCATTCAAACCCCACTCTTGGGGATGACCTTGTGGCAGAGTGTCTTAAACAATTGCCTGAAAGGTTGGCATGCCATGTGAACACTAGTTCAAGCTCCAGCTGCTCCACTTCTGATCCAGCTCCCTACTGGTGCTTGGAGAATCAACAA